CCTATACGCTATATTTATAACTATATTTACTATTTCAAAACACTAAGGAAATGAAGACTATTGGTGGCTTCAAATTCAGGTTATATGCTTTATTTAATAATGCAGAGGCAGAAGGCAACAAAGAATTAAAATCTTTTAAATGAAAAAACACAACAGTAAATAATACATCTGAAATAATCTGTTGCTTTCTTAAGCTTGAACCTGTTTTTCTATTTAATTACTTAATTTTTCATTAAGTAATTATTGTTCCAATTCCTTTATTTGTTCATCTCTTCATTTTTATTGGGATTTAATGAACTGTGTGTGTGGGTGTGAGGGTGTGTGAGCATAAACACTGACCTTGTCAGTGTGACTTGTGACCTTGTCCCGTTTGAGGTTAGGGGTCAGATGTGAATTGTGGTTAGGGTCAGACATTCAGCAGTCATGGAAGTCAATTCAAAGCCCAAATAAGGATGGTTGTGCTTGGACTCTTTCTTGTCTCTTAGTCATCCTTCCAGAAAGAACAAAACAGAAAACAATTCCATTCCATGAGATGTCTCTGAATTGCAATGTGAACCTCATGTTATTGCCCAAGACCTTAATCCTGATGAGTGGTTTCTCATAAACTAATAATTCAGCATTTTTCCCTCTGCCATCTGTGTCCACTCTGGTTTCTATTGTATCGTCCATCTGCTTATTTTCCATTTTGCTTCTATTATAATACGCACAGTACAGACACCTCCTCTTTTCCTTTTCCTCTCCTCCTTTCTCAGGCACATGTCTTAAGAGTAAACGTTTCATCATCATTTTTATTATTATTCTTTAAAGGGTCAGTGTGTAGAATTTAGTGACATCTAATGGTGAAGTTGCATTTTGCGGCTGAATACCCTTTAACTCACCCTCCCCTTCCATGGTGGCCTCCAGAGAGAGGACCCAATCCAAACATCTCTAGGATTATTTTATTTTCAATTTCACCTAAATCTTACACACTGAAGCTTTAAAGCCTCTATTGCAGCGTGTTGTTATTCCTCCACTGCTGCTGCTGTATCAGTCTGTTTCTCCTTTTCCCCTTCTTCAACCTTTTCCTTTCCCTTTGAGAGCCTGATTGCGCCTTCTATTAGTTCACTTTCTTTTCCCACAGATCCTATGAGCCTCTTTGTGCATGACAACGCTGTCTGTCTTAATCGTTTAGTTGACTCCTGGATGTATTTTTGTCCTCCTCAATCCTCTTTTCCCTTTCTGATTTTAATAAGTTGTGCTTTCCATCTCAATAAGTCTGTCTCTCTCTTTAAGAACCTCCACACCCATACTGCAGCCATTTACTATATTGCCTCCATCCTCTCATTTTTAAGCTGATGGAGCTCTCTCCCTCTCTCTCTCGGTTTTCTGCTGACCGCACTGTTTTTTTTTGCTCCAGTCTTAGGTTGTTCATTCATAGCCTTCCACTCTCTCTCTCCTTCTCTCTCTCTCTCTCCTTCTCTCTCAGTCCACGCTCTTGTCTTCCTCCTCATATATCATTCCATCTCTCCAGCCAGTCTGCCAGCAGACTCACTTACAGTGAGTGCGGGAGGAGGGAGCTCCCACAAGGACGAGTAAGAAGTATCCGGAGATGAATGGCTCTGTGTGAGGGGGTATGAAGAAGTGACGGTGGCAGGTCACTGTCTCCTCACAGACACGTTTGTACTACAGAGGTCAGGGAGCTGGATTCACTCTCCTGCTCTTGTTGCTTTGAAAACTCTAGCTGTAAGGAGGTGAAACAATCAGAGACAGGACATTATATCTATTGATCAGTCTGACGGAGACTTCCTTCAAGCTGAATGATCATTTTCCTCCATCTCCCCACTTGCAGCTGCTGCCTAATTATTACAGTGTTGGCTTTTGTTTTAATAGCTTGGGTCTGAGCGGAGGAGCTGAAATGACTCAGACTGCAGATCAGTGACTATTAAATACTCATAACTTCCTGTTGTTCAGTCCTGTTGATCCAGAAAGCTATATCTCCTCTGAGCTTTTTTATTTCCTCGCATCATTTCCCACAATTCTCCCTATTGCCCAGTTTCCAGGAAATTTTTATAACATGAACCCCATGTTATTGCTCAAGACCTCAGTACCGATCAGTTTTTCTCATAAACTAGAAATGAGCTATTTTTTCTTGAGCCACCTGTTTCCACTCAGGTCTATCTGATTATTTTCCATTTTATAACAGCAAATATGCCTTTGTATCACCTTGTTATGTCTAGTGCTTATGATTTAGTTTAGTTTTTGCTCTATATCTATTTTTAACAGCTCTTTTTGTTGTTTTGCAATGTGGAGCGTTATAAAATAAACTTTACTTACTTACTTACTTACTTTCCTTTTGTGGGCCAGCTGTGGCTCAGGAGGTGGGTCGTCACTAACCAGAGGGTCAGCAGTTCGACACGATCCCACCCCCCCCTGTATTCTGCATGGCGAGGGGCAAACTCCTGATTCACTGTATTAATGTGACTGTGAATGGATGATTGGCAAAAATGCACTGTGAAGTACTTTAAGTCGTCATGAAGTCAAGCGCTATATAAATACAGACCAAGTACCTTAAGATGAGACATTTCATCTTTTTTAATCGTTCTTTTTCTTGGCCTTTTTAAATAATTTTAATTCATAACCCTAACCCTTTTTTCACATTTTTACTGACTACTCAGTATCTGTCTCAAAAATGTCACAAAAACTCAATTGATTACTTTCTTAGTGAAAAAAAAACAAACTGTATTTGATCCCAGATACATTTTGTCCATCCAATCTTCTCTCCCTCTTTGTCTCCACTCCTGGCTTCCATCCAGCCACAGTTTTGACCCTGAACTCTCGGCCTCTTCTCCAGACATCCCATCTCTCCTGAGGGTAATGGCGGAGGTTCTCACCTATCTGATCGGGCCTCATCAATCATCATTCCCATGCCGCCCTCTCCCGTAGTGGCTTTGTGTCTCCGTGCCTGGCAGATCCTGCAGGCACCAGCTGCAGATGGGCGAGTTGGCATTGTCGGGTTCCAGAGGCACAAAGAAAAAGTGGAGCAGCTCAGTGGGAATGGGGTTTTTTCTGACTGGACATGGCGCTGCCCCAATTACCTGAGCTGCTCTGAGACTTTTATTTTTAGTGTGGACTGAGTGTGAACGTGGCCTTATTTTTGTCCCTTCTCTTATTTCAGGAATCGATCCAGAAATATCTGAGTCTTCTCATCTGAGGGTTCTGTGCAGTTTTTAGAGTAAACTCTGACCAACGTATAACAGAGTGAGTATCCTATGTAACTCAAGTCTTTTAATCTGTATCTTTGTCAAAACTTTTACACTGGAGTTGAAAAAAACTCACCTGAGTTGACTTACTATTTAATGTCAAAATTGCTGCCTTGAAAAAAGGCCTATTAGCTCTATAAAGCTGTGCTTAGGTACAGTTGTGTTAAATGCTAATGCCAGCACGCTAACACATTCACAATAACAATGCTGAGTTTGGTATTGGATTAATGTTAATGATTTATTATTAGCCTGTTAGCATGCTATTATTTTCTAATGAGCATTAAACAAGGCGCAGCAGAGTTGGATGGGAATGTACTTCATGCTGCAGGAATGAAACAAAAGTGTTTGACCTGACGATGGTCAAGAATCGTTACAGTTCATCCTGAGGCGACCATGAATGTCTGTGCTGAACTTTATGAGAAAAGAATCCAGTGGTTGTTGAGTTATATTATTCAAATTCACAAAAGCTGTTCTGAAGTCAGTGGACTTTATCCTCTGAGGACCATAAAAAAATCATGTAAAGACTGTACATCCAGTAGTCAGTTTGGATCAAAGTGTTCGAATGACTGACCCACAGACCAAAACTGCAACCTATAAAACCATGTTTCCGGCATGGCTAATAAAAATACCATAACACTGATAGCACAAGAAACACAGAATAAAGCTGCCACAGTCCCTCTAACTGTGTGAACTCAAGTGTTTGTTTCATCTTGCAAATAAACTGAATAGGGAAAAAGTCATCTTAAAACAGATTTACTGGGCGTGTAGAATACAGAGGAATAAGATCTGAAAGGTTTGGGGAATAGGGACTGAGGAGGTTTAAACAATAAACTGGTGCCAGCTAATGCGCCGCGGTTTAAAAGCAAATAAGAGAATATTCTGCTCCAGTGTTTCAGTTTTTTGGAAGAGCTGGGGGGCAAACGGGTCCGGCACATAAATGAACAGCAATCACAATGCAGCACATGAACAATAAAAGCATCTCTGTCACCATGTGTGCGGGAACTTAGTCACCCGATGACGTTTAGCAATTTTATCTTTATCATGTCACATCAACAAACACTGGCAGACAACCAGTGGATTACACCCCCCCCCACAACACCACCACCACCCCCACCCCCAGACTCAGATAAGAGACGGCGGTGATTCCTTTTTATTCGGCGCTGTTACATAACATACATCCCCAGACACGCCTTTGACTATAATGAACTAAAGTGGAGGTGATGATTTAGCGGCAGGATGAATTAAAGAGATGAGAGTTGAGCCAGTGGAGCGTCGAGAACTAACACAAAACTTCACACGCCCGTTATTTCACAAGTGCCCAAGTGTTTTATGCTAATTTGTGGTGTGCATTAATATTTTTGGCACTGCTTGGCTGAATGTAAGTGCAGTAATAAGAGCAGCAGGACCTACACAAATCCACACTGTACACATGCAGGGAGGAAGAGGAGGAAGAGGAGGAAGAGGAGGAAGAGGAGGACAGAGGAGGACAGAGGAGGGGGGGTGGATAGAGGACAGGAAGGAGGAGAGGAGGCGAGGGAGGGTGTTACAATAAAGGAATGGCCATGCTCCACAGAGATTGAGGTGAGGAGAGAGAGAGCGAGGGAGAGAACAGGAGGAGGACGGAGGGAGGCAGGCAGGCAGAGAAGAGGGGTGATGTCACCTCTAACTGGCAGCCAATGAGAGTCAGGAGGGGTGGAGAGAGAGAGCGGCCGGAGGAGGGTGTGTTTTTCTATCACTGCAGCATCAGCAGAGAGGAGAGGTGCACAATCAATTTCACAGAGGAGGAGGAGAAGAGGAAGAAGCAAAGGCACAAGTAGATAAGGAAGAGAGGGAGGAAAAGAGGACGCAGGGAGTTGCCAGAGGATCGAGCATCAGCGTGGAGGTAAGAGGATGTTTTTGTGATGGGATGAACAGTTTGTCATCAAAAGAGAAAGATGGTTGTGGACCAATTAGGTTCCTAAAGGTGGAGGAGGCTTGTTATGGAATCACACCTTTGCTTCATCTTATTCGTGCAGTAAAAAAGACGACTGGATCATGAAAATTAAGAAGCTTATTCTCTCACTGTTGATGTTTAGAAAACCAACTCATTCAACACACTTTAATCAAATTAACAGACGTGTGCGGCAGTGTATTACTTTGAACTGTTCAAAGAAATCTTGTGTATTAAAGCCGGGTGTCATGGATAACCTGTTGGTGCAGAACACTTTTAGAGAAATGTTTTTTCTTTTCATGTTTTATTTTTTAATCAACAGGGTCTGATTCTCTTAATATTGAATATGCATCAGTCTCATTGTACTGCCTCACTGAACACTTAATTAGCCATAATTACAATATAACACTGCCTGACATTGTCTTTGTTTTATTGTCTGAATTTGCATTAAAGTTAAGATTTGTGTTTGAAATAAGGGGCAGAAATGATACAAGAATATTTTATGGGCTTTTCATCTGTTGCATCACCTTATATTTAAATGAAAAAATGTATTTCTACCTGACCAAATGCCAAAACTATATAAAGCAATTGCTTAAAATCTGCAGCTTTGAAGTTAATATTTTGCATTTTTCTGTAAACTGAGGACAATTTCTCACAAAATTTCTCAGCTTGGCTTTGCCTCCCCCTCTGCCTTGCTACTTTAATATGAATATTCGTTTTCTCCCCACATTCCCCTCCCCCAGCTAATAACTGTGTAGCGTCATGTTCAGTGCAGCTCATGATTGCAATGTGCTGCTATGATTTTCATTGATGTGGAGGAGGAAACTCAACAAGCTGCATGGTGAACAGCACAGCAGAGCAGACCGCAATGGGTCTGGTTTGCTTTCGCATAGATAGAGCATGGGTAACCTTAAACCACACACCTTGGAGGGAAGACAGAGAAGACGGAGTTTAAAAAAGAAAGTGGTTGGAGGAAAAAAAGAACGATTGAGATATCAACAGGAGACAGAGTGATAGAGAGATACGGAAGGAGATGTCAGAGGAAAGGAAAATAAGGGTGGGGCCGTGCACACAGCAGACTGTGGAGGTGTGCCCGTGAAAAGGAGGCTCTCACCTGGCTGTATGCCACACAGCTGGCTACTGTCTTTGTGGCTTATTACACATCTGTTCTGTTCAACAGCGGAAAACAGACAATATTCCACACAACAGTTGTGTTAATGATGTAGAAAAGTGTATTGACAAAAGCAGCAGCTGTTAAAGGCTGTGAGCTTGTCTGTTGTTTATGTATTTATATGGTTCTTTGTGAGTGAGTACATCTTTGTGCATATTCTCATATTTTACACCAAGACATGCACATGTGTATCTGCTTGTATTATATGTGTGTGTGTGTCAGTGGTGTAGTGAACCTGCTCTCTTACTCTCCCTCCCTCCCATGCATCGGTAGCCTGCAGCTTCTCTCAGATGAACATAGTCAGGGGACTGGAGGGGTGCGAAGGCGCTTTGCCTGACAATGACTTGTTACCATCTGTACAACATCCATAAACACACTGAACTGCACACGAACACAATAGATTGCGGTGCAGCTGCTGCTGAAGACGGTGTGTATGTGTGTGTATCTTCTCCATGGCAGCAATGCTCCAGAGACCCACTGCTGGTCACATTATCATGCTATCTAATGCAGTGGGGTTTTCTTGGCCGTGGCCGTCGGATCAGACCGAGCCGTGAGCTGCTGGTTTGGAGGCGATGTTGTTGTAGGAGTAGCTTGGCGAGACTTGGAGTCTATGATTACCCTTGCTACAGTATGGTGCAGAATGTAATCTCCCCTCTGACGCCGGCTGGTTAATTGAGCTGTTCCATCAAAGAGATGGATGGAAACAGGGATTTATGTGAAGCAGGAGAGAGGGACAGAGAGACAGATCTCAAATGAAAAGAGAGAACAGGCAGGGGAGGGTGGGGTAAGCAACATAAAAAAGATAAAGGTGAAGGAGGAGATGCTGGACTACCGTTTTGAAAAGCAAAGCACTCTGCATCCTAAAATACAGGATCTCTGCAATGGGCTCTGAAGAAAGGAAAGAAGAAGAAGGAGGGATGAGTGAGGATGTATAAAGGGGCAAGGTCACAAGGGAGGATGGGCTGTGACAAAAGAAAGAGCAAAAAGAAAAGAATGAAAGGGCGGAAAGATTTAAAGGGAGATTTTTACACAGTATAGACACAAATAATACGTCTGATTGCAATCAAAGACAATTGTGAGACGAAAGTGGTGCAGTGTATGATCAGATATTTCTGATTTTGCTGTACTATATTTTATGGAATGATAGCGTCAGAGACTGGCCTGTTTCCAACTGGCTGTAGGCCTGCAGTGGAAGTAGAGAGCTGGTGTTGTGTAGGAGGAGAGTAGTGGTCTGCTCTCAATCTGCCTGTTAGGAGCAACTCCAGAGAAGAGCAGCGCTGCACTGGCCCCTCACTCCTCAGCCACCTGTTATAGCCTGGGGGCACCTTTGCCATCCCACTTGACAAATACAGATAAATGAACACACACACACACACGGGCCCAACCTCTGCAACACACACAAACAAACACACACTACGGAGATCTTGTTGCAGTGCGCTAAATTAAAGATCCTGTAACGTTGCCTTGTCATCCTGATTGCTTAAGCATCTGCTGCTGATCAAAGACCGCACACTGCACTTTCTGGGGATTCAGCTATTTAATGTAGACACAGGGTAAAATAAAGGTTAAGTGAGAGAACTATCTCAAAGTCGACAGGGACTGTTTCATCTCCGCTTTCTTTTTTTGTCCTTCTTTGAGAATTATCTTTGTAAAGTGACAAACAAACGAGCACTGATTCAAAAGCTCAATAGCGAACCCCCTCGTGTTGTTTTTAAGTTTGTCTTTTCGAAGCCCTTCCCTTGTGTGCGCAGTTGCGTGTGCACCTTTAGGATGCTGTCAAGAGTCGGCCGCCGCCTCCCCCCCTCAACCCCTCCCTGGTTGCGGATCGGAAGCTGTTTGATTTAGATTGTGCAGATGGGAGACAGCCCACTGGGTGTCAAGTGGGGGGGATCGTGTAGACATGCTGTCAGGGTTTGGTGGAGAATACATTGTGGTGATTTAAGGAGCTAAGGGTCAGATGGATTGACAGGCCCGCCATGGGCAAATCATTATAGAGAAATGAGGAGAAGGGGTAGGAGGCCAGCGAGGGGGGAGGATGAAAATTTGCAAAAAGGTGAAATGAGATAGGCGGGGAGGAAAATCTTAAGATGGAACAAGACTGATTTAAAAGCAGGTAGGTGAGAGGTGATGGTGGGAAGATGAATGCTGTTATGGAAGATAAAGTGGGAGAGCATCGTCATGGCAATTTCTCTGCACCACCTTGTTCCAGTCATCACTTAAGAGTCATGTTCTCTCGTCTTAGACAGCTTCCTGCAAGAACAAACTTAAGTAATCCATTTCGCTTTACTGCCTCTGTCTCTCTATTTCTTCTAGCCGTGCACCTCCCTGGTTTCACTTGTCCTATCAGTATTCACACAGTGGTGGACACAGGAACCCACACATCAGGGTCTTAATCAAAATAATGACTGACGCTACGATTAGCTTTCCCAGAAAGAGGCTCTCAGACAAAGACTCATAAATCCAATTCTATTATACAATTGAACCTGCGATGGAGACTGGGGCACAAATAAAAGCGTCATGTATGGAAATGAATTTAATTTGGGAGAGTGAGTTACCTTATTACAGCTCTCAGACGTGATGGTATGAGAGTGGGGAAATTGTAGAATCCCCCAGAGTAACAAATGTGTTATTGCTGGTTAAAATTGCACAAGTGGAACCCTGTGGTGGATATGGTGTCCTACCAGGAGAGAAATTAATTACTGCCAAACCAATAACGCAACTATCCGAAAATATCCAAGAAGACAAATTAGGACATTAAAGGCCTATACATTTTTTTCTTTATCATTTTGTTTTAGAATTATGGTGCAAAAATGTTCCACTTGTGTGAGTAGAATTTCTCCAGTGTGCTCTGTTTGAACCAGACAGGAAAGCAGCAAAGCAATAAAGCTAGGACACACAGGATTGAATATGAATGAGAGGAGATATGAAACTCCTTGTCCGTCCTTCTCTTTGCCTCCTTGACGCTGTCCTCATCTTTTTTTAGTCTGACAAAATTATTTCTTTGTCTCGGCAACACACAGAATTCCCCTCAGCGTCACTCCTCCTGGACCCCGGTCAGCTCTATCAAAAGAAGCTTTATTGTCCACACCAGTGAATATAATTGGACTAAATTGACCCTCTGTCCACTGTGTTTCCCAACTGCATGTTTCCTCTCTATGAAGTGTTCTGTTGATTCTCAGAGATGCCTCTCTGTGTATTTGCGGCCTGTGCGTGCATGACTCGCCACCAGCGGAACCAGTGAGAGATGCCCTCATGAATGAATGGATTATGATCTACATTAATCAATGTTGGGTTATTGCTTGTTTTTTGTAAAGGATGATGTCAAATGTCTGATGGCAGCATTGTTGGGATACAGTAGCTAAGTCTCTAAGTTTAATGGCTTCTGGGTATAAATAACTTAGAAGTTAAGATATGTGTTTCCTTCTCTGCTTCAAAGTACATTTTTAATACTTTATTTTCACTTTCATTATTCCAGACAAAAAGCCCTTGGTTATTTTAACTCAAAAAAGAGAAGCTTTATTTCTTATATTTTCAAAATCCTTGTAATGTTATAAAATGTCTGAGAGGCCCTAAAGATTTGATCAGAAATAGAATTAGACATGTTTCTTAGATTAAAGAAACACATATATAGTTATTAATGTTATTGATGGTAGTGGGAGTCATAATACAAAAAGCCTCCTCTTCTATTTTAGAGCTGACAAGGTAAAGGGCCAATCGAATCTATCAAGCTGGTATCCCTGAAATACTTATATTGATCATATATTATAATTATGTAGTATAA